TATCTTTACATTTTATCATATTTCATCACCTCACCTCATCACATTCTTCCAATCACTCCACTCAACCTTCTTAGTGAATCTATCAATCATAGTCAGTGTCTGTTACTGACATAGTCCATGGTAATAAAGCTTTACAGGCCACTACATCATATATAATTAGATTCAGCTTCTTCCCACATATATTAATTTGGGCTTAGAAGGACCTGTACCTGCACTCTACATTTTCAAGGATTTTCTTAACTATCATATATTGTTATTCACTTGTAAGTGAAGTTTTACAGTATAAAATATTTGATCCATTTTCCTCCCACATTAAATATGAGGACTGAAGTACTTTATTCTGTAATTTCATACATATTTTGCTCATTATAATACACTGCTAATCATACTTATTTACTTTATTTTACTGTCAATCATTTGTTTTATATACCGGAATGTCTTCGTGCACCCATCTAGTTATAGTGGACTACCTCACTCAGTCTTCCTTTTCTAAGTTCAAGTCAAAAGTCTGGTACTCTCATTTTGTTGTAGAATAAATGTAACATATACTTAATTTTTGTACATAATTTTATGCTTATTATCCCATGAGTTGTCACCCATCCAGTACTAGGACACATACAGCAAAGTTCTCTGCTGCTCACTTTTGCATTCCTATACTGTATACATTATTCATTTCCTATGGCAAACTGGTTGAAAGTATCAGTACAGTATATACGTTGTACAGTACAGTACTGTAAAACTGACAAAAAAAATAATGATACAGTATATCCTGTCTTTGTTGGGTTCATTATTTTATAAATGAAGTTTGCTTTGCTGTGATATTACCCATGACATACACAAACTATGTTTTAAATCATCATACAGTATAGAAATACCTGTAATAGAATAATTTTTTTTATATATTTACTTAAAAATTTAGTGATTGAAATGCAATAGGAAAGAATTTTGTTTATGGTGTGTTCTAATAGAAACCTACTGAAGATGTGTGTGTCTCCCTTATAATTACTGTTATTAGTTAGCTTGATGTAACATATACATAGTTATCAGCTACATGCAAATCCATTTTCATACCACGTTTGCCATACTTCATAAAGTACGAGCAAATTTGTGGAAATGTTGATAAGTGCATGAGAAGTGTACCAGTGGGTACTGTTGCTGTTTCAGTCTTTTGTTTCATACAATGATAAGTTTTGACTTATGCAAGAATATATAATTATGAGACAATCTTCACATAAAAATTATTTATTGTTGTTATCCCCTCTTTGATTATCCTTTTGTATAAATGTATTAATAGCATGAAACAATAGTTAATGTGGTTATGATTTTGAATGCACCTGCATGACCTTATTTAAAATCCTCTGAAATATTTTATGAAACTAAGAAACATAATGGTAGACCAGACTACAGTACTGTGTACCATATATTGTATGTATATATATATATATATATATATATATATATATATATATATATATATATATATATATATATATATATATATATATATATATATATATATATATATATATATATATATATATATATTATATATATATATATATATATATATATATATTAATTATATATTTGTCTAATGTTTCCAGTGGTTGTTAACTTATTCTATCTTACTGGTATACTAGCTGAAGATTCAAGATAAATACCTGTATGATAAAAATATATAGTGGAAGTTTTTTCAAGAATATAGTAATGAATTTGGCTTATTTCTTACATAAAATGTTTTGAAAGTTTTATTGGGTAGCTAATGAAAAAGAGAAGATTGGAAGATATGTTTCATCTTCAGTACTGTACACATTACTAGTGTCTCATTACATCATGTCAAATAATTCCTTATTTATTTATTTATTGGTTGTGGTTTATCTTGAATACCCTCATGTTGCCTTATTACATTACAATGGGCAAATTAAGCTATTCAGGTTTGATGGTACAGTACAGTACTCTGTGAATACTGTACATACTTATGCCACGACATGGGGGTGATTTGATATTTTGTTTAATGTTTATCATTCCTTACTAAAGGAGTTCTCTATTTTCGTTTTCTTACCAAAGCTTTCATCTGAGTGAACTTGGTTCATATTAAACAATTATTTGAATGATTGTATATAATTCACCTTTAACTGGTACAGTACTGTGCTATACTACAGTTTCAGTTGAACAATTATTTGAATGAATGTATATAATTCACCTTTAACTGGTGCAGTACTGTACTGTACTACAGTTTCAGTTTATTTGAATGTACCCTGTACAGTATTTATATGTTGTGATAATGGTTTCAAAATACTGTAGCAGGACTTTTACCATTATTGCCTACATATTTCAGAATTTTTATAAATGTACAGTAATACAGTATAATAAATTATAATTGAATTAGTTTTGATATTGAGGTGTTTAAAGTACAGTACAGTACTATAATTATCTGAATGTTGATTTTCAGTAATAAAAAGTAATTAAAGATTGGCTACAGTTAATGTGCCTTATTTGTATTTGTATTTTCTTGAATCGGTAAAATATAAAACAGTCTATTAAATTTTGTGCTATTTTCTGCAAAGTTTGACCAATTTTTAATATTTTTCGTAGTTCTACTTAATGTGCTATCTCTTAATCCATATGTACAGGCCACTACTGTAAAAGCTGTTTCCTTCTTTAGGGCCAAAAAAGTAGGTTGACTTACCACATGAGAAATCTCAAATCTGGTAACAAATCTCAATGTTAAGAAAAGAACTATAGATTTGGTTACAAGACAATATGGCCTTCAGAGTTTTCTTTAAATATAATAAGATAAATGTAATTAAGAGTAAAGATTGACTCACTATGCATAGGAAAATAGAGTGAATTGAGTGAAATATCAGTACGTAATTAAATTACTTGAGGGGAGAGGGTAATGAAATAGGCAAATTTTCGAATTATTCATAAAAGTGCTCGAGGTGGGTAAATCAAGCTTTCATGACACTGTACCTATGTGATTGTGTGGCATATAAAAGACCAGGAGTTCAAAGAATTAATAGGCTTTTAATTTGAGGTTGAAGTGTGGGTATTACAGATACAAAAAATACTATAATTTCACAACTTCACAGTAAAGAGGGTGCATGGTAGAATTAACAAAGATGAGGTCTGATAGAAGCTGGAGATGATATTTGTAAATCATCTTGGACAACCATAACCCACAACATTTTCTTCATGTAGGGTAAGATTCTTATTGTCCTTTACATATGACTACTGTATTGTAAGGGTAATAAAAATTTTTTTATGTATTTTTTAAATACTACAGGTAATATGATGTACTCATGATGTTTATTGATTATACAGTACACGAGTTTCCTTTTACCATTACAAAAGTTGTAAGGAAAGTTAGTAGGATTTCTGTTTTGTCCTAGTACTATATGGCTAACATTCTCTACTGAGGGAATATTATTTCTGGAGACTTGGATAATGATTTATTTTAGTGAACACTGCCTATGTAGAACTTAAAAGTGGACTGTCTACTGCTAAATTAAGAATCTTTAGCAATGATGAATTCACAAGGATCTGACTTTTCAGTTTACATCGTTGTCAAAAGCCTGATCGATACTTGTAAATTACAGACTGCATGCTAACATATGACCAGACAATTTTCTATCATCATCATTACCGCTAACACCATTTTACGACCATTTTCCACTCTCGCATGAGCTACCTATGATTAGCTGAAGTCATGGTGTCCTGGTTACCGTCAGGGAAATTTGAAACAAGTCTTATTACTGGATTCCCTTCCTATTGCCAACCCTCTTTTACATAGAGGGAACTGGGCATTAAATGTAAGACTTCTAAATGCCTTCATAGCTGATAGGCAGCGTCACTTTTACCTGAGGTAATCATAGATTACCCCACCTGCGTACCTATGGATCTGTAATGCTGTTAACTACTGGTATACTTTTTACTCTGTGTACTGATTATATCTATCTTTATATGCAGTACACTACTGTATACTGTAACAGTGTTTTCTCTCATTTACACCCTTCCTTATTAACATCTTGCATACAGCCATATACCCATCATCACGTCCTATCGTACCCATCATTTACATATTTTCTTATGATCTTGTAACAATGTTTCTGATGTTGGTACTCATTCTTCTGGTACAGTACTACTTCACATCTAGGTGTCCTACTTAATACGCCAAAGTCATCATGTAATAGCGCTTAATTTAAATTTTGTTTTCCTATTTCCTGCTACTCCTATTGATGACACTTCCTGCCTGCATATTTTATTTTGCTTCTTGATAATAGAATATTGCTTAGTACTGTATAGCTTATGTTAGTTTACAGAGCTAGTTAAATTTAAAATACTGTAAGTTTGAATTTTTCAATAAAAATTTTCTTTAATTTCTGTACAAAAAATTAATATAGACACCCAAATCTAAATAATTCGTAATCTTAAATTTTTTTTCAAGATTACAACATAAGAATATATAAAACACTGAGTCAGGAAATATTTTTTTTGTCATTTAGTACAGCATTGTTATCTCTTGCAATTGTTGTGTGTACTGTCATGCTATTGCTTCCATGTATATACAGTGCAGTACAGTATATCCAGTGGAATGAATATAGGGAAGTTTGTGTCCGGAGATTTTAACAATATATTTTGTCCTGTACATTTCTTAGCCTAACCTAAATTAAACAAACCTTGCTAAACTATCTAGGATTTATTTTTTCATGTATCCAGTAAGAGCTTTAACATATAGTACAGTACTGTACTTTATACAAAACATTCACATTTATTATCTGCTCTGAACAAAGTTTCTCCTGAACAAACTCTTCTTGATTCAAACCTTTAATAAATACAATACAGTATTATGTTATCACTTCCTTATAAATCAATGATTCACTGCTAAATAAGTATTGACTCTCCCTTCAGAGTGTTGACCAAAAATTTACGGTATTCTTAAGTTAGATTTTAACAAAAGTTTTCTTTAATATGTTTTTAATAAAAGTTTTATTTTCCAGGAGCTGGATAACCAGAATCTTTATTATCCAGAACCCTGTTTATCACCATCTTTATTATCCAGTCCATCAGTTATTATTTTGTTAATTTATTCATGTTTCTTAGCTTCTGTAACATAAGTATTAATTATAAAATATTCTATAATATGGGTACTACAGTACTGTACTGTACTAAATTCTAGTGTTCCCCCAATCAAGATTCTGGTTACTTAACAGTGGTTCTTATGTTCCATTTTAGTAAGGCTGAAGACAAGCAATATGCTCTTTGACTTGGACAGTGGATAATCATACGATAATCACACTCGGTTATACTTCTACTATTTGAAGATTACTTTGCACCCTGGATTACTGCTAGACTCTGGAATGTTCCAAGATGACCAAGTAAATTTAGTTTTTCCACATGTGGGATTTATTGTTATTTCATAAAGCATTGTGAGTCACATAGCCTTGAATGTTGAGTATGGTTAGAAATTAAAGTCTAGGTAACCAATATACAGTAGTTAACTTTTGTATATACAGTATGTATAGCGGACTGATGAACAAGTCTTTTAAGCTGTGAAGAGCTTTGAGCCTTAATTTGGCCATTTATAATTACAATATACAATATATTTCTTAACCCTTATTGGCATTTGTTACCCAGAAGTTAAAAGTTCTTTAACTAAAATTGCAGAGATCAAAGGCTTAAAATAAAATGACATATGATAGGTCAAAATAGAGGCAGAGAGTTGTCCATCCCTGCCTTCCTCCACCTAACCCCCTTCCCTGCTGCATGTTTGCTCTTGCTCTTGATGAAAAACCTTGTGTGTTTACTGTGGCTTTTTTATTTAATGTCTCACTTCATAGCTAATTTTATTGCATCCTTCAAAGCAATATGCTCCAGTGTATTAAAAAAGAAGTTTGCTGTGCACTTTCTTTATGAATGTAACAATTTACTGACTAATACCTAAATACCTGTACATTTATTACAGCACTAGCTGATTTATTCTCTTGCCATAGTTGTGGGTAAATGATCCAAAACTCGGTATGATAATAAGCACTTTTCGGTTGATTCATTGGTACTGTAAAAAAAAAATAAAAAATCATAGGCATAGTAAAATTCTTATAAAGAATAAACTAACATAACATACTCCCATCTAACACAGAGACAAAGTAATGAGGAACTGATTGACCGAGCTGTGTATGTGCATGCAAAATGAGATTATGATTTTATAATTACAGGCATAATAAATGACCTAAAGAATTCCACAAGTTAGGTACTATTTTGGATCATCTATATCACAGAGTTATTCTTGTTGTCCATGAAACACGGATTTGCGCAAAGTTAGACATATCAGAAAAGTTTATCTATATTGTGTACAAATGTAGAGATTGTTCAATAAAGATCACATTGCACAATGTATTGTTTTGCCTACCAAGCTCTGGCATAGCACAGCAAATTCTGAATCACTATTTCTCTGCCTAAGGATTCATATCTGTTTCACTATTCATCTTCTGTATAAGTTTGCTTATCTCTTTCAATGCTGATTAGATATTTTCTTCAGTCTAATTACAGTATATTTCATATATTATTTATTCATTATTTATGCTAAGGATATGGGTGTGATGGCTCAACTGTCTATACATCCCCATCTGAAAATAATGATTTGCACTGTAAATCATTATTTTCAGATGGGGAAGTAAAGACAGTTGAGCCATCACACCCATGCAGACAATTGAGTGCAATGCTGACCACATTGCCTCCTTGTGTATGTACTGAAAGCTTAGTAGTGACTATGGCTGTGCTGTATTCATTCTGCCCCAAATAGAACATCAGGCCTATGAGAACTGTATGGCACCAGCCATTTCAATCCTGTGGGGTAAGTTAACTCATCTTGCCTTAGGGTTGCCACCACAAAAGTTTTGGGAAATGAAGTTACAGAATAATGTATTGTATTACAGGTTGTACCTCTCTAGTCCGGCAACCTCGGGACCTGACCGGTGCCGGACCATGGAAATTCACCCTTTTCCTGGATAGATAGTGACTTGTGCTTATGCCTGGAAGCACTAGCACCACTTTCTCTGCATCATGGTCTCTTTGAAGACATATTGAAGGGTTAAATGTCGTATAGTAGCTTCTCAAATTTCGCGAGTTTTTAATTCTTAACGTATTTTATTGGAACACAAAAAATAAATAAATAAAAATTTTGACGGCGGAAACTTGAATTTCGACGGGTTTGAACGGCCCGCCAACGTGCAGACGACGTGCATAATCGTGTAAACAGCGTCATTTCTCTTATGTACAAAAGATTCATTATTGTTTATTACTGAATGTCTTTTTTATTGAATTAATGTTTATGTGTGAAAAATGAGCAATACAATTCATTAATAATACGTAGAATATTAAAACACACGAGGAAATGACACAGCATTGTATTCGTTGATTACAAAACCAGTGACTGACTGGTTCTACATATAAAACTGAAGAAAATAAGACCTTGGTTGTAGCTGTAGTAAAATTAATATGGTTGTTGTAAGTAATGTTATTAATGTTAATAAATGGAACAATAGAAGAATATGAAAGCAACACTTATTTACTGTTCATATATATTTTAATTAATGTTTCTGAATTTGTTTTTATTGAATTAATGTACGAGTGTGCAAAATTAACAATACAATTTATTAATAATACGTGGAATATTAGAGGAGACGAGACGGCTGCCGGCATCGTTTATGTTAAAGCTTACGAAACCAGTGACTGATTGGTTCTACATATAAAACTGAAGAAAATAAGACCCTGAGTTTAGCGGTAGTAAAATTAATGTAAAAAAATGAATATGGTTGCTTGAAGTACCTGTAATGTTATTTAATGTTAATAAATGGAAAAATAGAAGTAGCTAACGATAATGGTAAAGAAAAAAAGAGAGATCGCGTATGTAAGTGCGCACATGTGAAAACATATCATCATTACTCTACATAAGAATATGAAAGCATCACTTATTTAATGCTCAAATATATTGAAGGGTTAAATGTTGTACTCTGTATAGACAAGCAGAGAGAGGGAGAGCAGCCGAACTGCCGGATGTAAACAAACCTTAATTTCCTCCGGCTTTGTTTTTTTTTTTTAACAGGGATTAGCCCACCCGAGCATAGGTCACTTAGGTCACTGACCCACATTGGGGCTGAGTGGCAAAAATTTAATACTCCTGTAATAATAATAATAATTCAGATAAGTAAAAAAAAAAAAAAGCTGCCTATCTACCTATTGGACAAACTAAAATCGTTCCGGACCACGGGAGTTTCCGGACCACAGAATGCCGGACTAGAGAGGTACAACCTGTACCATATACTGTACTGGGGGGTTTCCTGGGGTTGCAACCCCCCTTGAGCTTCTAATAAAACTTGATATCTGAAAAGAGAACATCTCTACCTTTTGGTAAGGAGTTTTGGGGATGGGTGGGTTGGGGTGGAGGTGGGGTAATGCCCCCCCCCCCCATGGGTGGATCCAGGAATATAAAAAAAGGGGGGGGATCCAAGAAGTTTTGGGTTGGGGAACATGGCAAGCAAAGCGAGCCCATCTAGCTGAATGGTGTTTTGGGAGGTGCTGTAAGCTGCCCCCCAGAATTTTTTTTTAAATCTGCTCAATATCATGGGCATTTTGAGGCCATTATAAAGTCATGTGCACTTGATATTAGGGGATGTTCTGAGGTCATAGTAATTACGTTTTACTGTACAAAAAATGCCTGAGTACAATACTGCATTAAAGAAAAAGTATTGGAATTTTCTGATGAAAAGGGGGGGTCCGGACCCCCTTGGATCCGCCCTTTCCCCTACCCCAGAGATCTGTTGGCACCCCCCTTGCTGAGATGATTACCATGCACCTATTGTAAGATGCTGATCACACTCATGCTACCCACTACCAACACCACCAATGTGCCACCCACCACCACCACACATCCCTAATATGGCACCACGAAACTTGTGACCAAGTCCCAGGTTGCTAATCTGTCTTTCTGCCTCATTTACACACAATTTCAGGTCTCAATTGTTTCTCTTACTTTGACAATGCAACATGCATATATCATGTCTCACTATTGTTTTTTTTATTTTAAATTTGTTTAAAGTTCTTTATTATTATTATTATTATTATTATTATTATTATTATTATTATTATTATTATTATTATTATTATTAGTAGTAGTAGTAGTAGTAGTAGTAGTATTATCACAGTGTTATTATTGTTAATGTTATTATTAATATTTATTTTATTTTTATTATAAATTTTATTTACTATGAATCATCATCATCATCATCATCATCATCATCATCAATCATCAATCATCATCATCATCATCATCATCATCATCAATCATCATCTTCATCATCATATTATTACATTATATTATATTATATTATATATTATTATATATATTATTATTATTATATATACACACATATTACATATATTGCACATGTTCCCCAGGCCCCGCTGTGGGTCAGTGACCTGTGCCAGGGTGGGCTAATCGTCGTAAAAAAACAAAAAAAAACAAAAAACACTCTTTCCCCACCACCACACTCCCGTCCTCCTCCAACATCACTACCACACTCACTGATCGTTCCTCTCCACTACCACCACACACCCAACCCCCACTACCATCACACTCTCGCCTCCCACCATCACCACTATACTTCTGCACTACCACCATACTCTCGTTGAGGTGACTAACCACCTTAATTATTTTTTTTTACAAGCTTACAAATTTAATATTATCGTACTTTATGTTTGAAAATATGGCAAAATATGTAGTTTATCACCGATCGAAATAGACACCAGAAAACATTCTTTAGAAGCAATTTGAGGCAGATTTTGATACAAGAATTAATAATAATAAAAAAGCGTCAGACTGTGGTTTTTCACCCAACGAATTTTCCATGGTTTCAGCCCCTTATACCCTCCACTAGGACTCTGCCACTGGACACTTGCTGGTGGCCTCTCCCCGAGCCACCTCCTTCAGCAATATCCTGGAAAAAACCCTGTATCTACCTAAAATCAGAAAGTGAAGCTTGCCCACTCGACTGGGTCAGCAGCCTAGCAGAAGCTTTCGTAAAACACATCTCACGAACTTGAACCAGGGAATTTCCAGTCATCAAGTTGAATCACTTTCACTCCACAATGACTCGACGGTTCAGAATGGCACTAAGGGCCAATTGCAAGAACAGTCGTGGGGTGTACGATGCCATTTACGATGACCTTCTTGCCCTGATCTTGTTTCAGTTATACCACCCCTTTGAAGCTCTGGAGAAATCTCGAAGTTTCGATATTTTGAGTACAGCACTAGCTAATAATTCCCACCAGGAAACTTGTTTCGAGACTCCTCCAAAGCTTCGAAAAGTGCAGAATTCCATGTGTTAAAGGCGATATTGCTGAAAAAAAGACCAGGGCAGGAAGGTCATCGTAAATGGCATCGTACACCCCACGACTGTTCTTGCAATTGGCCCTAACTACCAACCATCACTTTAATTAATAATAAAAAAAAAAAAAAAAAACGCTGCCCTTTTATTTTGTAAACAATCACAGAAAAATTCGAAAATGTTCTTAAAAATACCTAAATGCTGCTTTGGAGCGTTCCGTTGCAAATCAACCAGTTGTATTGTCGTAAATACACTCGACCCAACAAGGAGGCGTGCGGCCGCGTGTTGGAACATGACGTGTACATCACAATGCGTCTCCGGCTCTCCTTATATAAACAGTGATACTGGTGCACAATATAAAGCTGTGAAAAACAGTGTATTTGGGTGAAAATCTAGATATTACTTATACTCAGGTGACTATAACTGAAAGTAGAACTTGAAATTGCTCCAAGGAAAAAACAAAGATAGTATTTACTAATGTAAAATGAGGGAGCAAGAGTGTGTGCCGTGTACTCTAGGAAGAGATGCCATTAAGAAATATCACTCATTGACAAAGCAATATATATATATATATATATATATATATATATATATATATATATATATATATATATATATATATATATATATATATGGGTGCAACATTTCCCTAGAACAGACTTAGTTAATGTGAAGAATGTAGTGATATGTGAACAACATTTTATCAGTGAACCGAAAGATCGAAATCTAAAATGTGAATTATTTGGTTGTAATCTGTCAAAAACTATCGGGATTTGAAACCAGATACGATACGTGTTATAAATTTACCAGTTACCAGCGGCTCAAGAATTTCTGATACTGAAGTAAAACAACGTTGAAAGGAGTCTTCTCATCATTAAAGGTTGGTAGTTGGTATGATTTAGTACATATATTTGTAACATTTAAAATGGTTCAAATTTTGTCTGCAACCTGGGGAAAATGTTTACAAGTGCGCTTGGTGTTTTTTTTTCGGTGGGGGGAGGGGGATA